TCATTTTTATTTTTAACAAAGAAAAAAATTATATTATTTTTAAATAAAAAATTAATCATTTTGTCTAATTAGCAATTTTTTTGAGAATATATTTTTTAATGATAAATTAATGTACAAAATAAAAATATTATAATCACTTAATGTTATTAAAGGTTAAGAAACAAAATTGAAACTTATTAGATAAATATTAATTAAAAAATGTGACAAAATAAAAAATTAAAATGGATAAATTTATCAATAAAATTAAAAAATTTCAATTTGCTAGTGGTTTAATATAAAAAACTATCTAACTTAGCTTTTTCAATCCGGTTTGGATTCTAACCGCTACCCGTTAGTTCCAAACCATTAAATAAAAATTTTACCAAATACCTTCTTTGTAACGATTGCGAAATATATAAGTTTATCAAACACCTATACTTAACGGTTTAGGTAAAACCGCTAATTCCTATCCCAAAACTACTATACCAAACGGCCTTAAGTTTCTATACAAAGTTAAGATTTTCTTTTAGAAACTTTTTTGTTATATATTAAATAATAAATTACATAATCAGAGATAGTTCTTCATTTTCAAAATCCTTACTAATCCATCCTAAACTTGAACTTATGACCTAGGGCGTCCTATTTGGGACCTAACTAAAGCAAAATAAGGGAATAAAGATACCAACTTCCTTATTTTCTGGAAAAATAAGAAAGGAATAAAGATCCTGGTAATTTACATTTCTGCTCAGCAAGTCAGGTTCCTTCCTAAAAAGGGAGGTCAATCAGCAAAATTCGAAGTCATTGTTTTATCATATTGCTTGAGTAAAAGCATCAATCTTGGTATATCTTAAAGCAAGTCAATTCTCCAATTTGAAGGCTGGAACTAAGACCTCCTGCTTCATAAACCTTTTACCAAGCAAGGACTAATTTGAAACGAATTAACTTAAAAATTTCTGGCAACCTTCATTCAAAATGCTTCTAGTTCTTCTAAAGAGCTAAAACTTGGACAATTACTTTATACTGTGTCCCACTGTTCGGGCATAAAACTCGTAGCTTGTAGCCCAATTCAAGCTCAACTTGTCATTCTCAATCTAAAGCCTAATAAAGTCTCACAAGGTAAATGGATTATTTAAAAGAAAAAAAGAATAATCAAAAGGTAAATATTAAAAGACGAGAGATAATAATCATATGATAAATTTGATAAAAATTAAAATCTACACTACACTTTGCATATTAAATATTACAATTAAACATTTTAACATTTTTATTATCAAGATTTCTTGATTTTTCTTTTTCTTTTTAAAAAATTAATCATATACACTATTTCGAAAGAGAGTCTTCAAACTACTTGAGGTTTTTTTTAATTTCTACCAAGCTTTAACTTGACAAATGATAAGTTTATCCTACATGAAGGTCGAACTCCATGAATGGAGCTTGTGTACCCCAATTCTCAACTATACTCTAACTCGATTCATTAACAAACGCTACTCCCAAGCAATTTAAATAACAGGGAACCAAAGCATAACCTTGCTTCGTACCCCTTGCAAGAGATCACTGTACCTGTTATGCGTAGTCCACAATTTGATATGCTTCCCATTTCAACGACTTTTCCACACCATACTACCAGTCAGTCGAAGCAGCACAGATATCACCAACAGTGAAATTCAAGTCACAAAGCAAATAAGAAGCTAATCATCTTCTTCCTACCAAATTTTTACAACATGTCCAGCTAGAAACCTGTTTAGTTGCAAACCCAACCCTAGGAGTTCTGCTCTTAAAATAAAAGCTATTCAGTGGGATACACCATAAGGGATTCAAGATAGATGGAATTTAAAAGAGCTTGTTCAATAGAGGTTGGCCAACCGAAACTGGATTCTTGAAAACGAACAGTCAATTAGTCTTCACAAAATGCTGGGCTAGCAACTTCCCAATCTCCAAGAAACCAGCCTTCTCCTTTCCACCAAAGAGGACCTTAAGCTCCTCATCACAAAAGATCTCCCTCTTGTCATTTGGGTTCTGCATGCAAACACATCTATTTGATTTAGCTCACATTAATGTGTCACAAAATTTTCTTCACAAAACATATCATTACAGACAGTATGAAACATGATCTACTGAAAATTACACAAAGCAGAATTCTATCAATTGAGTCCGGAAAAGTTACAATAATCTCACGCGTCAGAAAGTGTGGTTCATGGGAATAAGGATTGATAACACTATTCACCGTTAAATTCTTCAAAAATGTTCTCATCAATCCTTAAATAAAATCTCAATCCTGTGTTCATTTCTGTTCTTATGGTCTTTTCATCCTTTAAGAGAACATGCTCCAATGGATAAAATTACACTTAAATGAAAAATATGCCATGAAATCCAAGCACAGAGTTAAGATGACATGAGAAAGGAAAAAAAAAGTTCATTTAACCTTCAAATTTATCAAAGGGTAAACAGTATTGATAGTCCCTAACATTTGAAGAGCAGTTCAATAAGGCCCTCAAACTCTAAATTTCAAAAATTGAGTCAAACTAATTTAAGTTGTTTCAAGTAGACCCATGGATACTTATTGCCATTAAAATGAATAGAAGCAGATGTGGAAGTATAACCAGATCCATATAACTAATCTCCTTTTTTTTTTGGGCCAAATCTTATTAAAGCTATGTAAGAAGAATATTGTCCTTAGATGTCATCAATCAATAGTATCTTCAGTGTATATGATACAGATAGCCAGACTTTAATGTCTAGATTCTCTAGAATAATATTGTTATTGCCTAATATTCACAAATTTTGCTGTCAACATGGTTTGATATCCATTCAACTTCAAAACTTCAGGAGAAAAAAAAAAAAAAAGTAAAAGGAAAAGGCAAGTAATAAGCAGCAAAGCAGCATGACGATTTCAATTTACTTGGTAAAGTTCCTCTAGATCATAAGATAAAGGGGCAACTAAGTCTCTCCAGTGATCTTTTATTTGTTCGGTCTTTTAATGGCATAAATCCATAAGTTAATGGAAGGACTAAAGCAAACTAGCAAAGTATATTACATTGAGAATAGCATTGTTGGTCCATAACAATTGTTATCACATTTGGTTCAATGAAATGGCTATTTTATAGTAATTGCATGACAACTTGGGATCTATTCAAACATTTTTTAAGGTTTTAAGGAAGAATAACACCATTAAGAGGGGGAAAAACCAAAAAGATACATCCCCATCTACTGTAAAGATTCAGACAGCTAATTTCAACAAGCGTCCTTTTCCTTTGCCAAATGCATCACCTAAGGAGAGATCCATTGACAATCAACACTAGTAAAAGAATGCCTTACCATCTTTACACCTGTCTTGGACCATTGAGTTTGCTTATCCACAAGAATAGAACTCAACCCTCTTACTTGCCTTTTATAATACAAAACATTTTTATGATCAAGGATCAACAAACTCATCAATAGTTTCCACCATTTTGCATCCTTCATTTTTTTTTTCCTTAAATCAAACAAAAACTCAAGAATAGATCCAAAAACTTAAGCCACAATATACAAAAGTGTGAAAATCAGCTTTTGCAACCACCGCTTCCCCCACTTCACTAGCACATTAGATAAACAAATAGAGGTTATGCTTATGCACCTTTTATCTTATCTCTTGCCTAAGTTCCTTTTACTTCTAAGAAATGAGCAATGCAAATCTAATCACATGCTACGGAGTTATGCCTTGATCAGGGTCCTCTTAAAGGTGCCCAACTTTCATTTAAATGCAAGAACAATCTGAATTAAAATTTATTTAACCCTTGTGTAATATCAACCAAATGATATTGAGCTTATGCATAAAGGCCATAACTCGAGAACCCAAATGACACAATCAATCCAGTAGAACTATCAATGAAAAACTACAGAACCAATCCTAGAATTTTGAGGTTTTCAACAAACCAAATGCAATATCAGATGGCCACAGAAACCCCAACTAAAACGGAGCTCTGAAACAAGTAAATAGAAAAACCCTAATCTTGGGGTTAAACAAACCAAACGCAGAAACACTAAACACAAGAATTAAAAAGAGAAGGGATGAGAAAGAGTTGGATACCTGGAGGTTGTGGGTCTTGATGTAGGACCAGATCTGCTTGACTGCATCACTGCGAGAGGCGTTATTGGCTCCAAGAAACGTGCTCAAGGTAGGGGAAACAGGAGGGATCTTGAGATTGCCGGTGGGTCTCGCCATGGTTCGAGGGGGCGATTTAGGCTTCCGGGATCTCGCCGTCTTGGGCTTCTGAGTCGATTTCAACGGTGATTTTGTGGCAGCAACAGCAGCAGCGCCAGCGGATGAGGACCTGGCAGCAGGTGCCGGGGCCAACAGCGCCCTGCAACCTCGGAAAAACCTAACAGTCGCCTAGACTTTTGCTAGATTCTCTCTTCAGACAAGCGCTGGGTTTTGGTCTACCCTGACAAATGATATTGTTACAATCATTTGTAGACTTTCGATCTCTGTAGGAGACAAATTAATGAATCGCAAACGATTCATGTCTCCAGTCGAATTTGAAACCTTCATTATCACATAATTATGAAGAGATAGTACCCTTAAGCATTTCAAACTTTTCATCAAATCTTGCAAGAGTGTGTTGTAAAAGTTATACCGGAAGTACTATGCCTTGTTCTTTTGGCTACAAAAATGTACGTAAATTCCTCTCTCTAGGAATTCAAATTTTATTGACACTTCATATTCACCAGGGAAATTATGACAAATGGTTGGATTTTTGAAAGCTTACATTTGATATTTTTCCATCTAATTCAAAGATGCAGCATATTTCTTTAGCTAACATGCAAGGCTAAATCATTTACAACATCATGCATCACAAACAATGACACATCCCTATTGGATTATTTAAAAAATGCCCCTGATAGTAGATCACGAAAGTATTGATGACCAAGGTCTTTCACTTTCTTCATCCTTTGTGGTTGTTGTTGCAAGAACCCCTCTGCCATCCATAATAAAATCAACTCACCTTTATCAAATTCATAATCTTTAAGAAATATAGAACAATACCCAAAGCATCTCTTCAAATGGGAAAGAAGGTGATTATAGCTCGATTTCAAAGTAGGAAGAATGCTACTATTACTATCTAGTAGGTCCCATATCTCACTATTTAATATGTTTTCCCACTCAACATTAATGTCTTACCACATATGGGGCCACTAAGGGTTTTTATAACCAATGGCAATCTTTTGCATCTTTCAATAATTTTCTCCCCTACTCTTTTAAGATCTGGATATGCATCAAAGTTTTTTTGCTTCCAATGCATGTCAAGCACATGGTGACAAATATGCTTCATCCTCTTGCAACAAAAGATGAACTCGATCATTTCCTCTTATCATCTTCCTAATATTCTCGATTTTGAGTTGTGATGATCATTTTACTTCTTAGTGCTCCTATTAGGAAAGGTCTTTGTAAGTTCTCCCATAATTCGTAGTTTTCATTCTAAATATCATCTAACACAAGTAAAAACTTTTGACCTAAGAGCTTATCTTTCAACCTCTCTTAAAGTGAAGTTAGCTCTTTTGAATCACAATTTTCCTTGGTTACTCGCTCTAAGATGGCTCTTTGATCCGATGAACATCAAAATCTTCAAAAACACAAACTCATGCTTTCAATCCAAACCTATCCTTCAATTTGTCATCATTGTAAATGAGCCAAGCAAGAGTGGACTTCTCGATTCGTCCCATTCGAACAATGGGAATAACAGAGTATGGCTCATGTCTGCCTTCATCACTAAGCAAAATCTGAAGAATAGCCTCTTTATCATTTTCTCGACCATAGACATAATGTTCAGGCAAAGGAGTGTGGGCGATCTTTCTGTAGCAGCTTTGTGGGATTCATCTCCAATTCTCATAGTCAAACTGATAAGGCCCAATGTACTTATATCTGCTTCAATACGTCGCAATCTAAGAGTAACATCCTCCACCATGGATGCCATCTTTTGGCCTCCTTTAGTCACAAATCCTCCAACCTTGTTAAACAATTTAGGAAAGATCAATTTCCGTAGCTTATTACTGCTGGCTTTTTGCAAACAGCTCAAGCCTCTTGGCATCAATCTCAACTTCTTCAAGTATGTCCTCCATATCATATACCAAATCCTTGAGATCAGCAAGCCATAACTTCACCAAGAGGTCTTTTCCTTGCTTCTCTTCAGCATCTTCAAGTAGAGCACCGATTTTTGGCAAAAGGATTCTTTTAATTTTGCGTCTCAGCACAAACTCTCTCTGGTAAATTCAGCCTTTCACTTGCCAAAGAATTCAATTTTGAGAGCAACAACTCGAACGTTGCTGACAAAAGAGCACCTCCAGCAAGGGTTGCAACTTCCATAGTTCGATTCAAATAGGACACACAATATTCTGCAAGAATGGCGTAATTGATCATATGAACAAGTTTTTAATTTATCTGGTCTGGTATCGTAAATTAGCCTACTGTTTTGAAATTTTTGTCTTATATCTCTCCATAATGAAATTGAAAAATAACAAGAAATAAAATCTGAAAATATTTTTTTTTTGTCCCTAATAAATTAAGAAATAAAAAATAATTAATACACATTTTAATTAAACATACTTTTTGACATTTATCTGATTTAGTTATTAAAATATAATATAAGTACGTTAATTTAATCTGTTCCTGCATCCTATATGCATAATTTCATAATATAAGTTTGTTGCCCTTGAATTTTAGATCAAAAAATAAATTTTTTTAATAAATATATTTTTTAATATGTTAAATTAAAGAGTGTATCAGTTTTTGTCTTTAAAAAATTTTAAATACTGTAAAAACTAACAAGAAATATCTATTTGTATTTATTGAAATTAAATATCTAGAATTTAATTGAATTGATACTGATTAATTTAAAATTTTTTATTTAAGGTTAAGTTTAAGACTTTAAATCTCTATAATACTTAGTAACTAGCTTTGGATGTGCTAATAAAATGATCATATATATATATGTGATTATCTTTTTTTTTGAACTGAAATATATATGTGATTAACATTTATAAAGAAATTAAACTAAGCAAATTTGTGTTAAACAAAAAAAAAAAAAGAATTATTCCTATACTACAGTTCAAATTATTTTAAATTATAAACGAAAAATTTTTAAATAAAAGAACATTTTACAATATCAAGGGCTAATATTTTACTATACGAAAAAATCAAAATTATAAAACGTTTTCTTGAAAAAATAATAATAATAAAAGGCTAGTCAGTACTGTACGTTTGCCTTTGCTTCTTGTTAAGGTTAAAGTTTTGCTGTGTGATCTAAGGGAGAGCTTTTTGAGCGTTTGAAGGAGAGTCTGCAGGGGGGCTGGTTATTGCCACAATGCCACACAACTCAATGCCTTTTTGGTTGAGAGTATTTTATCTAGTTATCATATATATAAGACCAATGTTTTCAAACCCGAATCGGATGTCAAATCGTCTTGATTTTTGGTTTGTGATTTGAACGATTTAATCGGTTTAATCAATAAAACCATTGAGTTGATCAAATACTATAAATATATGATTTTGCAAAAGATTTCACACAGTGTAGGTGGGTTGCACGGGTAGGTTGTTGATTTTCTATAAGAGAGATCCAAAGTTAAAGTCCCTCGATAACAAACTTTAATATAATTGTGCTTTAAAAGTAGAATAAGTATATCATAAAATATCAAATTAACAAAAGAACATTGTGTACAAGTGGAAAAATCTTTGTTTTACAACATGGAGAACAAGGGTTTGAATCTCATGCTTGTCGTAAGAAATATAGTTAAAATTTTTGGGATTTATATGGGTTAAATAAAAGTCCAACCACCCATTGATCGAAGGATTGCATCGTCCTAATGGCAAAGGATCAAAGCAAAGGCTTCAATGTTGCAAATTCAAACTTCGTCGGAGACAAATTTCTCAAGATTTTCTGCTCAAGCATTGAACCATCCGGTTGAACAGTTTAAAAAATATAATCGAATTGTTTAGACTACCAGGTACCGGTCTGACTAATTGGTCCAGTCTGATTTTCAAAACCTTGTATAAGACTACTGTTTTGAAGTTTTGAAATTTCCGCAGTAGTAGTATTCCCGTCTACATTGAAACTAAAAAATAACCAGATAAGAAACTAAATAAAATTTAAAAATGTTTTTTTTTCTTTGTCCTTGATGAAATTTAGAAAATAATAGGAATGAACAATAATAACTGTATTTATGAAATTATTACTAAAGTAATTAAACAGATTTAATTAAAAAAACAAGATAACTCATAAAAAAGTAACAAGGTAAATGGAAATAAAATCTGAAAATGGTTTTTTTATTTTCTTCCTGATGAAATTCAGAAAAAAATAACTTAGAAAATAATAAGAAATATTTGTAGCTAATCAAATTAAACTAAGCACATGTGATTCAGAACTTGAGAGAAGCAGCAGCAATAATTGAAAACATGAAAAGAAAAGGCAAACATGTATATATAAACTAAAATCAGCAGCACGTATGTAAATATGAAATAAGTACCTTTCGATGCTAAAAGCAGAGGGCATGCCCCCGAAGTTTGAAGAAGATAAAAAAGAAGAGAGGTGAGTTTGGATGGTGGAAGAGGGAGAGTGCAAAGAATGGCAGTCCTAGATTCTGCTTTGATTTTAGTTGAGTGAATACTGTTCTTCAATTGATTCCATCCCACCCAGATTCAGCACCAAAAACAAGGCAAAAAGACAGTAATTGCTAGTAGTTGTTAAAATCATATCATAATAAAAAGAAAGGTGAATGTATACACTAAATAAATTAAAATGAGGCACCTAGTCTTTGAGGCCTAGTGACAATAGTTATTTCGGTGCATTTCTCCCTTTTCGAGTTGGGTTCGAAACCCGTCCTTTACAAATATATTCAAAAAATAATAAATAAATAAATAAAATGAGATGCATGTTAAGTGAATACATAATTAGTATTTTTTGACTTTAAATTTCCTTTATAATGTTTAATGGCGGAACAAGAAAACAAGATCCATTGCATGACAGAAGAAAATAGTCTCTAGAGTGGAATCGATTGGTGAGTTTGCAGTAAAGGGTTTTAAGAATGAGCTTTGGTTCTGGGAGAGAAATGAAATGTGAAAGTATGGTGATTGGTCTTTGTCAATTCAATGGATCCCCAGGCGATGCGATTTCCCCCAAATGATTAGGGCCGTGTTTGTATCCTCTCCACGGAAAAGCATTCTGGTTTAAATATTAATTCAAACATTCTGGTTAAAATTCTACTTCAATCCCTCAACTTTTAAATTTCTATTAAAATTATGCTTGAATTTTCAAAGTACAAAAATTATTCTCAAACTTTAATTTTCAGTACAATTTTGGTTCTTCCATTAATAAAATCCGATGTGTGCACCTTTATCTTTATGTCTGTTAACTCTGCTCATCTGGCAAATACAAACAGTATCTTTGCTTATGTAGACTGTCCATATGAAAGTGTTTCGGCAGCTTCACAATCCAACACTGTTGAAGTCTTCAGCTGCTTCTACACCTGAAAATCCCAAGGATGTTTCCTTGGGGAAAACACTCCAACGCTCAAGTCAGCAATACTCAATGTTCTAGAGAGAGATGCCCTCAAGGAGTAATTGCAGAGAAAGAAGCGTAGAGATTAATTACCTTCATCGGAGGTAGTTGAGGGGTATTTATAGCCCTTGGTGCTGACACACATCTGCACGTGTAAGCATCCCCTTGACCCACGTGGCCTTGGTCACGTGGGTATGCTTGTACTGATGCCCCTTCAGCTTGGGCTAATGGGTGGTAGCCTAGGCCCGTCATGCACAACCCTATTTGGGTGTTGGGCCTATTGGGCCTATCCCAACATTACTCCGCCCCCCAGTGTTCGGTTGACGAACTGGGATGGATGTAGCGATGGGCCAACGTTGTTGGGCGAGCTCACGAGCTTGAAAACGTGTGGGTGAGCTGGTATTCATAGCCACATTAGTGTGGGCTGGTTGTGTCGGCGAGCTGAAGTGATTCACAATAGACGAGCTCGCACATGGACAAGTCACATATATAACGCCCTTTTAGCTTGGACGTAAGGCGACCTGACCTTGGAGTACTACCGAAGTGCGAGCTGATAAAGTGACCGTCACTTTATCAGCTCGCAAGGGTAGCGTTGTCGTATAGGGCGACCTCATGCACCCATTAATTTACGCAAAGGCTTGCGGCCTGGTGTGAGCTGCAATTCATGTAAGGACCTGATAAACGTGCTTGTCGTCACGATATGTGATGAGCTGAATCTTAGGGATTTTTGGCACGGTTGAGCCGATCTGGCGAATATGTCATCTTTGTGACGACCTGGTAAGTGTGCTCGCAATGGCGAGCTGACATGACAGTATAGGGTACACCTCAGCAGTTACGATCTGAATCTTAGGGATTCTTGAGTTAAACAAATCTCTGAAGAGATACGATTGAGCTTCCCATATCTCTTTGCCTTCCCCGTCATAAATGCTGGCTCAGCATTCGAGGGACGTGACAGCTAAAGTCGGCGCACGTTATGCGGGAGGGGCGTTAAGCGTCTGCCACGTGTGGGACGCTAGTTGGCGCGTCAGAAACACGCGTACGGCAATTAACGCTACTATCCTTCTCTGCGTAACTGTTCCCCTTTTTCATTTTCATTTCTGTATTTGCTTAAACGTTCTAAAATCCTCTGAAGCGAAACGCTCCAGCTTGAAGAACAGCACACCGAATCGACTTCACATCAGTTTCAGGTAAAAATGGTTTCATTGAGAGAACTCACAGAGCAACGAGGTAACCAGGGCAGAGAGGGAGAAGAGGAAGGGGTTTTGTCCGTGGAGCCTATCACTATGATAGTGCCGCCGGAGTTGCAGGATGTACCGGAAACAACGGCGTCTGAGAACAGCGCCGGTTCCAACGCCAGCGACAACGGTGACGACCACCGTAGTGCGTCGTCGAGCAACTCGTCTACCGAAGAGACACCCAGCCGCGAAGAAGGGATGGGGGACGTGGTGAGCAGTGTCTCAGATCGGCCGGTGATTGGGGAATGGGAAAGCACGACGATCCAGGGCAGGCTGAGCAACCTGCGAAAAGCACCAAAGGACCTGCCCACTGGATTCAGGTTCAGGGCTGCACTTCATCACGAAGTAGCAGATTGTACGTCCTCCATAAGTGGATATAAAAGGCTCGAGGAGATGGTGAGGGCGTACCACATCCCCAAAACCATACTGCTGCGGACTGGCGGGAAGAACGAAAGGGCGTGCATGGTGTCGCGAACGGGCTGGATCCCATTATATGCGGACCACTTTGACGCCGGCCTGCGATTTCCCCTGCCCGGCCTGGTGTTCGATCTGCTCGCGGAATATGAGCTGGCGCTGACGCAGCTAACGCCCAACAGCATAAGGTTCATCATAGGCTTTATGCTGTTGTGCGCAAGATTGGAAGTGCCAGCTAAAGCAATAGTGTTCAGGTCGCTATTCCAGTGCCGGCTGTGTCCGAACTCACGAGGAGCGAAGTGGTACTACCTCTCTGGGAGGGATAAGAGCCAGCTCTTAAAAAACGTGAGGAACAAAGTGGCGAGGTGGAAGAGACAGTTTATCTTTGTTCGAGACGCACAAGCAGAAAGGATAAACAACAACCTCGCTGCCCGGCTGTCTGAGTGGTGCACGCCAAACGCCCACATCAACTACCCCCAACTGCTGCCCCGGGATGTCGATCTAAAGAACCAGCTGCTTCAGTATGCACAGAGGGAGGGTCTTATAGATCTAGAAGCCCTGGTTACTCGGAGAATCTCGCCGTGTTCGGGTTTGTCGATGTGACAAACTTGTTCAGTGAAGGTATATTTTCATCATATAACGTGGATTCTAGCCGAGCTGAGGCTTATACATTTGTTTGTGCAGGTGAAATGAGCAGCATACTGGAACGTCAGCGTCAACGTGCCCAGAGCTCACGAGGTCGTGGGACGGGCGGCAGCTCGCAGAGACAGACGCGGTTTGACGTGCGGCCGCCCACGGTGCCGCAACCACGGAGCT